TCTCTATAAATAGAGTATATGCATGTAAAAATATTTTTAAACGTTTGGTTTCTATGGGTGACATGGGGGCATGGTCACAGTATTTCTAAAATCCAGACTACAGCCCTTTCTGTGACAGACAATTCTGTGTTTGTTGTACATGAATTTATGTTTCTGGTCATTCAACTGTTGGTGTCTGTGTCCTCTCACAAGTTCTTCATTTGGCTTTAGATAAATGTGATGCAAAATAATTCAAGAAGGGTCATGCATTAATGTTCAAAATCATGAAAAACACACTTCCACTTATTGGGTATTCAGCTGAATACACACAGTCCAAAAACACAACACAACAAATGATGTCAGGTGGCTTTTTAATGTTTCCAAAAATAGTCTCTGAAACTGGGATTTGTTTTACAAAAGCATCCATATATCTAACAGGTATGGACTTCTTATGTAAACACAGACTGTCAGACTCAGTGGTGGCACCAGAAGACTGAATGCTGAACCCTTGGCAGGAGTTAGACCATCCACAACTGAGAAAAAAGGAAGTATTTTTCTAATAGCTAAATTACTCAACCGGTAGCTCTTACAATGTCAGTTTTAGAAATTGTTAGCTGAGTAACCTACAGTAGATGCCTAGAAGTATACACAATGTACTAATAGACAGACCTAAGCCAGAGCAGTATAAATGCAGTAATTATGCTTAATTCAACAGTAATGATGAGTAATGATGTCATGCTTGTAACTTGTGTTAATGCCATGTGACATCGGGGTTCAAGACAGCTGTTACACATTTCAGCCCACGACAAGTTAACACTCATTTCAAAAAAAGGCATGGCAATAAGGTTTATGACCTCAAGGAAGTTATCTAAATTCCACACAATTACACTGACACAGTATTGTGCATTCATCATCCTTGGCCGCTCTGTCAAACTCAATTTATTTTCCATATCTTTCACTACAGTTATTGTGGAGAAAGGGATGAAGGCTCAAGGTCAGTCCAATGGTTAAATGTTCCAGTGAGTATTTACCCTTGCACAAAATATTCTCTTGGACAGCAGAATTGTGTCCAATAAGAGAAGAAGACTGTCTCAAGGACAGTGAGATTTAATAGGGACGTACGTTTGTGTGTATGTGTGTTTTAGTTGGAGTGACAGAATTTAGGAGCAGCATCATCCCAGACTGACATCAGTTAGATTCGGAGGTATTCACAGCGGCTATGCCCGCAAGTGCCTCAGACAGCTGGGACAGAAGGATTCGTGACGTCTGTTCTTTGGGTCATCAGATGTCTGTCAGAATTTCTTTTACAGAGAAATTTATTCTGCAGCTTCAGTCTCCATTGCCTGTCCTGTAGCGCTCTCCACAGTCTTTGAGGCCTTTAAAAAAATTTAAAAAATAACAAGAAAAGATTGAAATTAGAAGACACTTTTGGCACCTGTGTTTTATTTCATGAATCACACTATCCTGTAACTCACCTTCTTTTTCTTCTTCTTCTGAGTCTTACGGCTGGCTGAGCTTTGAAGCAAAGCCTTTATATGAAAGAAAAAGTAGACAAACAGGATTTTAACCTCAGGTGGTGCAGCACACAATACATCAACACATGACGGCTTTGAGAACGCTAAATCAGCTAACAGCAGGCTATAGTGGTCCTATTAGTCTAGATAAAATATCCCATCCATCAAACAACATATTTTACCTTCAGCTCTGGGTCCTCCACTTCATGCTCAGACTTGTAGAGTTCTGGATCAATGAGACTGTTTGTGATTCGCAGAGGTCCATTGGCCATGAGCAGCACGGTGAACTTGAACTGGGCAACAAATTCACCTGGACAAAGATGAGATTGAAAGTTACATTAAAACGGTCCCACTTGGTAGACAATCTGGCCATCAAATGTTTGAGTTAGCAAGGTCAAAGCAGACATAGGCGGTACAGGGCCGTTAATTGACAGATTCAAAAAATATCACTTAGAATTTCCTTTCAGAACTAGCTAAAAGCTACCTTAACCATGGCTAAAAGGCAGAGGTAAATGGTCGCAATTGTGGCTGGACACTGTGCTGGACGTGCAACAAGTGTTTAAAAAAACAATTGTGTATAAAAGGTGAGACAATAAAATACAAAGAAAGTCTAGTTTTAACAATATATACATGAGTTTTAATGCTCATGAGACACCTCAACCCTGCACCACAATTTAGAATACTAGTAATACAGGACTACAACCCTGGATAGTTTTTTCTGGCGACAATTATAAAGTAAGCAATGAGTAATGTACACTTCGACATATTTGACGCAGTTTGGTCTTAGATGAAGCTGCAGTCACTTAAATTACAAAGGAACAAGGAGGCTGCGTATTTTTGACACAGTGCTATCGCCAGCCTGAACATGGTCTTAGTTTCCCAGGGTGAAAAAAAAAAGCACTTGATTACATTATTTACCATGGAACAGAGAGGAAATTGTCTTGGTAGATGATCAGTAAATGACCAAATTCAATTTACAGGACAAAACAAATGTGTGATGGAGAGCTGCAATGCTGAATATCTTTAGGACTGTTGGTCGGACAAAATAAGACATCTGAAGGAGTCACCGTGGGCGGTCTACTGTCACCTTGAGGTATGTCTACTGTTTAATAAAATGTACATTTCCTGTTTCGTCGTCACAGCCACAGGTTGTCATTTGTCATTTTTGATTGGTATTTAGTCTCAAGGGGGAAGAGAGAGTGAGACGCTGCGGCAAACAATTATTTTGTGGTGATAGGCACTGAATGATAACGCTCATCTATAAAGTACTTTGGTTTAGTTTCTGTCTGCGTGTATCTGTTAACAATCGCACGCTGGGCTTGGTTGATTTCAGTTCTAACACGAGAGCTTTAAGCAGATGTGAGGAATTTTCATGGCCACCGAAGCCATTAATTACATCTCTCATTGTTCCACTCACCCTCTTTCTCATGCAGCACATTGAATGGCTGCAGCAGCTCATGTTTGGCACACTCCACCACGCCCAACCTGGCCTTGCCTTCATCCTCAAATGCTCTGAGGAGACAAAGAAGAAAGTAAATATGAGGAGGTAAAACATTTTAAATAAGTGAAATATTTGATGTGAAGTTAAAGATGCTACCTTAGAGTGAAAGGCATCGTATCAAAGCGTCTCTCCATCTCACTGAAGAATGTCCGAGAGGTCTTCATCTTTAAGCCGTACACCTTGTTGGGGTCTCGTTTGTAAACGGTGGTCCTCTGACCTCCATCCTTTGCCTGAATTGCAAAACAAAACATATATTAGAAATGCATTTCCCCTTATGGAATTAGGTTAAGCAAATAAATAAATCTGAAATGTATACAACATTTCCTCTCACCTTCCCCTCTCCGGTGCTGATAAGCACATCCACTGCATATACCTCATGCACTTCAAACTCAGCCTTCTCATGGTCCTTTCTACAGAAACAGTGACAAAATCATACACCGGTTAAACATTAATCCGGTCGGGGACAGGAAGCACTTGCTGAGTAAACTCACTTTTGCTGGTCCGTTGGGTTTTGGATGATAGTTTTCTCCCCATCAATCACATGTTGTTTGAGCTGATGGGACAGCATGCCTGTACACAATGTAGGAATAAACTGAGTCAAACATGACAAATGACATTTAGTAAATGTACAAACTGGTAATCACAGAGCCTGAAGGTGCCAAATGTTCACCAACACTCACCCTCGATAGGGGAGCACTTGAATGACTTTGCAATCTTGTTCCAGGCTTCTGTGACCTGTGTGTTCTGAAAGAGACATATGGACGTTTATTAGATGTGGTGTGAACACTGATGCGGTTGGTCAAACCAGTGGTCACGGTGGGAGAGTTCTACCTGGTTTCCTGGCTTAACAAGACGCAGAGCGGCCTCAGCACAGAGGTGAGCTGCTTTGATAACATCAGCCTTCCGCCCTGTCACCGGGTTGTCCTGAAGTGACAGAGGAGGAAGATTACAAGAGGTGCAATAACAAAGTATTTACTAGCTATTAATGGTGTGACTACCAATTAATTACATTGCTCTTGTGAATAAACCAGTGAGTGCTACAGCGCAGGAATATTTCATTCCAACAGCGACGACATACCTTGGTCGCTCCAACAATGAAGCTGTGAGCCACATTTGAGATGAAGCCGTCAACATGCACACCCAGATCACTGTGATCAAACAGAAAAGGAAAGCATGAGGTAAAGAAAGAATGAACTACAAATAAAATACAAACTATAGCTTAAATAGAACACAGGGTAGGTGTAAATTCAGCAGCTTACATTTTGACAAGGTCCCCATCCTTCAGTACAACATCAGGGTCACTCTTCAGAGGGGAGTGATGGCATACGCAGTTGTTAACTGACACACAAGTAGGAAAAGCGATACCTGCGAAAGAAAGGGAGTGAATGAGGGAGCGCTGAGTCAGAGACACTGGCCGGTGACTGATGAAATGCAACAAAAGACGTACCCTTCTTCATGTCTTTTTCCTTCTTGAAGATTTTCCCAGTTTCTGCCATGATGAAGGCATCTCCCTTTTCACACAGGCTGAGCACAGAGACTCCAGCCATAGCTGCCCCAACTATCGTCTTCAGAGCCTCTGCAGGACACAAAAGGAGCAATGATTTGGTTAAAATAGTATGACAGTAACAGAGTGTGTATAGTTTATAGACTATTTTTGGGTCAGTTGATTAATAGTAATAATTAATAAATAATTAGTAAAAAATTAGAAGAAAATGTTAGATTAAATAAATAGGCATCACTGTTGATGGATAAGCTCAATTAATGGCTTGTAAGTGCTGACACCAAATTAAACTGAACACATCATTTGATTTTGACTAAGCCGATGTTACGTTAGCTAGAGGATAAACATTTGACAGACTGTCTCACAGCTGTATATTAGCAATAGTAAATTAGAGGTCTATACTTTAAGATAAGTAGGCCAGCTGTGATAAGCTACAACACAAAATCACAAGGAGAGTGCCACCGATGTGAAGCACCTATGACATTGCAGTCTTCTCCACAACCTAGCAGGAGCACAAGGACTGTGAATGAAAAACGACCAGTCACTGGAAGTTGATTCAGATTTTTTTAAATGTATATTCTGAGGTAGCCATTGATTAGGAAACTGATGAGCCGATTCCCTCACACCACTAATTCACTTTCTGACATTAGTTAACTGTGCAATATAGTTATCTTGTGTTTGATTGGTTTCACTATGTGTATTTAAATGTGAGCTGCTGTTCAATCTCCAGACTGGAGGATAAAACACGGACAAACATAAAGTCAGAGGTTGAATTGGGCAACTGACAACTGTGAAGGTAGGTGTTATTAAAAAGGTGTGCGTGTGTTTAGCAAGCCTCCCTGAATTAAGTCAAGTTAAAAGTGGCATACTTCTGTTTAGACTGCAGAAATTACGAAATATTAATATAGTGCAGGTGTAAACATTTTAAGGTTTGGTAGATTCAGATTAAATGTACGTATTTAAATTCAAACAAGTCCCACTAATGACGATGAGTGCATGTGGCCTTGAGAATAATATATTACACACATTTGCTTCAACCGCAATAACAGCGTGTAAAGTTGACGATTCATGTTGGTGTTTATGAGTGTGTTTACTTATTCAAAAGCATAAATAATTATCATATTATAAAGCCTGACGTTATTTGACATGGCAGAGTAACGTTACACGGTGTGTCAACTAGCCTCCGCTTACCCTGTTTAAGAGTTTAAATGACACCATTAAAGACCTTCAGCCAATCCCACATACCACTTGTATTTGTCTCGATTTAAATCATCTGTGTTTATACATCTAAATGTTGGCTGTTCACGAGTTGGAGCCACCCTTATTTGTACTTGTCATTGTTGTCTGTTACGTTAGCAGCTAACGCTTTAGCTCCGCCACACAGCTAACCTAGCTCACCAGGCTAACGTGACAGCAACGTGACGCTACACAAACGCGGGTTACTACAGAGACTTTACAGCTCCGCCTGAATATATATAGCAAGCTTTATGTTTCAGTCATATTAAACAAAGGGGCCCTGCTTTGTAAGGGCACATATCGTTGGCACTGCTGCGGCACATGGCACAGCTGCTGCCTGGGCATGGATTAGCTGACACTGCTAGCTAACAGGAGACGGATCCTGATACTTGTGGACTGTTGGAGTCTCACACACACAAAAACGGGCACGTAAACGCCGCATTTCACTTACGATTCGCAATCTCGGCCCCCATCTTGTACTTGGTGACCACCAAGTCGTCGGCGATGGTCTGCTCCTGTGTCTCATCATCTCCAGACATTTTGGCAGTGTGTCCGCGAACTCAGAGTAACTTTTTTTCCCCCGCTGGGTGTCTGTCAGTCAGTCACAGGATGGACCACGCTGCTCTCTGCGCCGGCCCCGGCCCCACTTCTGCTGGCAGCTTACGATCCCGCCTGCTGCCAAAGACACGCTCTGCAGTCAAGATAGTTCACGGCCCAGCTTGGTGCGTTGGGCGCCCGAAAAAGGCAAGGGTGGATATTTTAAATCATACGGGGGCGCTTAAATTTAGACCATGAAGGAGTAGTCGCAGCCAACAGGATAGTGTGCTCATGCACAGCTGTTGTTTAATGCATTCTGTGTTTGTTATTTTTATGAAAACATATCAAGGGTTGCAGAAGATGGAATGACTGGTGGGCTTAATTAAATAAAGGATGACTAGTATAAAGTGGATACGCTCTGAAAGTTTTTATTTCAGTTTCAGTGACGCTATTAAAGACAACATGGAAAAAAATATTTTTTTAAGATTCAGAAAATATAGAAATGAAGATAATGTACCAACTAAGGTATTCATCAAAGGACAAATAACTTCTTAGTGTTCACACTACTTTGATGCGATAAAGTCCATTAGTGCATAACTCATCTAAGAACGTTTCAAAATGACTTGCTTAATGCTTTTATCTAATTTCCACAGTATTTTTGTGGTCAACCAATCGGCCTTTAAACTGGATGTGAACGAAAACGGAAGAATGCTGACGTCAATCTCACTCGTCACTCATCTCTGATCTGCCTCTGACCAAACCGCGCGCGAGTGCGTCACCGACGCGTTCACATGCCTCCATCTCCTTTTCTGCTGTTCATTGTGTCATTATCACTGAATACGAGGTGGAGGGATGACAAACAACTGGTTTCTCAACAGAATATTCAAAATGAACAAGTGAAACAAATGAAGGAATATTTTCAAGTTGGTATTTTATTGTTTTTTTTAATAGGCACACGCACACTGCAATGTAAAAGGGCTATACACAAATTAATGACACGTGATTTGATATTTGCAAAATAATCATATTTATTCGTGTTTATAATAATTCATGTTATAATCAATTGTACAAAAAGACTGCTGCTGTACAGAAATCGTCATCATCCTGCTGCAGAATGAAACATTCATGGCTGCTACATTATGGTAAAAAAAACTTTATATGCCTGTTTTTAATTCAGGGACTGCTTACCATACTCTTTGAAGTTCACAGGCAAACACCACGTTTTGTCTGCTTTAACTTTTAATTTTGTGTTCTGTACCAACTCACAGTTGTTTCATAAACAATTTATTTACTGCATAGGTCAAAATAAATGTATCTACTGAATTAAACTGAAATGAGATTTAAGGGTGTATTTCTTTTATTACTTTTATCTTTCAAAGTGTGTTGGATGCTAGAACTCAAAGAAAAAAAGCTGGAAAACATTACAAAACTACCCAAATATATGGCAGGAACTGAAGTAACCGTTACCATGTCTCCGTCCCAGTCCACATTATTAGGTGCGCACAGCATCTGGCTTGAGGAACAGTCTGCTGTGCCAGTAGTCCGGGTTGTCAAATGATGTGTTGCTGCCAGGCTCCCCCATGCCGGCACACACCTTGATGTATCCCCCGATCCCTGCACACCTGCCGCTGCCCATCTCCTCAGAAACAGCCCTCACCTTCACTGGGAGGTTCTGGTAGTCTGCCTGCTCCCACCCATTGGGCACCACTCCAAGTCTGGTCATCTCTTCATACTCCTCCACCTTCTCTCCCCCAGCTGTGAGCACATCTGGCCGGGGCATGGCCATACCGCTCAGATTCTCCTGCAGTGTGGGTTGTTTGTTTGTGTTGTTGTGCTTCTCCTCTTCCTCTTCCTCCTCGTGGTCTTTTTTCAACACCTCCACTATTTGGTCTGTTTCCTCTGTCTCTGCTGCACTCTTTGCAGATGTTTCACTCCCACGTCTCTCCCATGCTTGATCCTCTCCCTCCTTAGAGTTGGATCGTCTGATATCCATGTATTCATACCTGCCTATCTCTTGGGAAGCCTCTCCTTGGTTATCCACAGCTCTGATCCCACTGTCACAGTCCCTCATGAGCTGATGTTTCTCTGTGGAGTCTCTCTGCTCTGCTGCACTGCCTTCACAATCCTCCTCTGCTTGTTTACTCCTCACAACGGAGATTGGTGTCAGAGTTTCCACATGTGCTGTGTCCTCTACAGATAATGAAGACATGAAGGTTGGCGAGGGTAAAGGTGAGGTTTTACGAGCATGTGCCACCAAAGGGACATCTGCTTGTGATAAGACGACGCTGGTCGAGCAAGGAAGAGCACCAGACTCTTTGGTCATGATTTCATACTCCTGGGAGGGATTTATCACCAACAGAGACAGATTATTCTTGAGTCTTGAGTTCTTTCGCCCAGAATGAGGCATTCTACAGACTGAAAAGAAGGAGATAGAGGGAAGAAGCCTTGATTATTCAATTAAATAAAATTTTATTTGTATAGCACCAAATTATAACAGAAGTGATCTCATGACACTTTTCCAATTTAATTTGCCAATTTCTTTCAAAAATGTACTTTCAAAAAGTTAGTGCTGATAATTTACCTCTCTCTGGAGTAACAGGTGACCCAGCCATGACATAGCCATATTTGTCCACCTCCTCATCTTCCCCTGTCGTCCACACCTTATACGAGGATGGACTCGATGCTGTTGAGAATTTCCTGTGCCGGCTGATGGATATACGAGGATTATCCCTCTCAGAGCCAAATCTGGCCCTGTGAAGACTCCCGCTCCGTAAACCTTCCTCACGCAGCTCTGCCTCTCTTCCACTCCCCCTGAACTCTGACCTCTCGGGCAGCGTCCGCACCGAGCTCAGCCGAGACCTCTGAAGCCACAGCTGAGACAGAAAAGCAAAGACTGATGCAGCAGCTCATAGAAATTAATCCTCTCATTTAAGAGACCAGAGGGGCCAGAATGACACATATAGGTCCAGTTGGCGTCTGGCCTCGCCCGCAAGCATATAGGGAAAACTACGGCGTGCGTGAAACTCTCAAAAAATGCCAAAGGCCCTATCTAAAGCTAGTTTGGTTTGTCCGTTCTAGGCTACTGTAGAAATATGGCAGACTCTATGACCCGCTCCCTCCATAGATGTAAACGGCTCATTCTAAGGGAACAAAAACTCAACAATTCGTAGTTTCAGGTGATTTACACTAATAAAAACTTATGAATGTTATATTCTATTTCTGCCAATAGATCCTCCTAAATGTTACACACTGAACCTTTAAAGTGAGGTAATAACCTCCTGGCAAGTGCTGGGTCATAAAATATATTTTTATGCTAAATATATCTACTGTATCATCTGTGCAATGCAAGCTTCAAACAGTGTTGCAGGGTGCCAGTATGTTTGTTTGCCTGCATTTGTGTGAATGTGTGTGTTTGTGTCACCTGGCGGATGCTGTCCACAGGGCTGGGGGTCATTGGCAGGTATCCAATAGGTCCGGCCTGAGAGGTGCCACTCTACAAATCAAAGAATAAAAAGCGTTACGAGCTAGTTCCTCTGCCTCTGATCCAATCACGATGGTCCTAAAATGTAACAAATCTAAGATGTATTTCATTACCCTGTAAGAATTAATCCGTGAACGAGACAGACTCCAAGATGGAGAGTGTTGGAGAGGAGGAGTGGCCAAACCATCCTCCAGTCCATCCTCGTCTTGGTCTTCCAAATCTGCATCCAGAAGCCCTTGCTCTGATTCTCTTCGATGGATCTCTCCTGAGCCCGTTTCTGCTCCTTCCACCTACAGAAGAGTGTGGAAGTACAAGGTTTAAGGTCTAAGTAAACAGCCAGTGTACTTAAATAAAATAAAAGACAATGATAGCCTCACCTTGATGACCAGATATCTAGGTGGGTCTCTTGCCATGCGAGTAAAGTCACTGGCCAGCTCTTTGAAGGTCGGCCTTATATTTTCATCAATCATCCAGCCTAAAGCGAAGAAGTAAAACAATTCAGATCCCATCTTTGTGTGTTTGTGCACACACGTGTGCGATTTCGACTCACATTTAACCATAACCATGTAGACGTCTATAGTGCAGATGTATGGCTGTGACAGCCGTTCGCCCTTCTCCAGCAAACTCGGCACTTCCTGAGGCTGCACTGATGCATACGGCTCCGCCCCAAATGACATCATCTCCCACACTGTCACCCCTGTCCGGAAACAGAGACAGCACATTTAAATGGTCACACTGCCAAAATTCACAGACAGCATCTTTTAGGTTTTAGGAGGACAGATTATTTATTGGCACATACTGTAACTACACACACTCACACAAACACACACAGCCTCTTACCATAACTCCAAACATCACTTTGATGAGTGTATCTTCGAAACAAGATACTTTCAAGTGCCATCCATTTTATTGGCGTCTAGATTAAGAGACAAAGTACAGACAAGTCGTACAGATTCATTCCTTTAATGGAAGCGAAAACAGTAACTTAGCTATTCAAGACAGATCTCGCAGTAAATGAGTCAACCTTGGTGTCGGTATAGACGTATTTCTTGTCGTCGGGATAAAGGAGGTCTGCTACACCGTAGTCAGAGATCTGGACCTGGTAGTCGTTCTTCAGCAGGATGTTGCGAGCAGCCAGATTCCTGTGGACCATGCAGTGCTCCTCCAGGTAGAACATACCCTGAGACACAAACATACATGCAGTATATACCCTACATGTACTCTGACAGCTTATTTATAACATTTGGTTGCTCAAAAGAATCAATAATTCCAGCTGCACTCACCTTAGCAATTTGCACACACCAATTGAGCAGGCGCTGGGGGTTCAGGCTGTTCTTGTGGTGCCTGATGTGCTGCAGTAAGGACCCCTGTGAACTAAGCTGGGTCACCAGTTGCAGACTGGGACCTGGACAGATGCCCAGCAGCCTAACAATATAGGGATGGTCCAGGCTGCCCATGGACAGCATATGCTACAGAGAGAGAAGCTGATAAAAACACTATATACTTTTTAAAACAGTTTTATGATACTTGATCTTGTGGTATGTATTTTGCATGAAAGATTCTCACAATGACAAGTTACTGGCAACATTGTAAATATTAAACATTTGTTTTTTCCTTCTCATTGTATTCTATGATATATGTGATATGAATTGGCATTTCTGTGATGTGTTAGTGTTT